ACCTTCAGTTTATATCACTCCACCAACACTTAATTCTTGTGCTTGAGTATAAAATAAAGAGAAAAATATAATACAGTTTATATGTTGATTATAGAGTAGATTAATAAAATATAACGTTATCAAATTAAGAAAATAAATCTATATATGTTGGATTTAATCAATTGATTTGAGCTGTTTTCATGCTCCAAGCAGTCAATTTAGAGATGTCAACACTCTGTGAACCATTATTGAAGACATATAAATGGGTTGAACCATCCACTGCTAAATTAGTTGGGTAAACCCTAGTTGTAATGCAAGCCTTTCCTTCTCCTCCAAAGCTCTCTACTATCGAGTGATCAATCTACAAAAATAAAATAAAACAAAACATATTCATTGTATTCGCGTTGAAACTGAGAACTTGTTTGATATAACGAAAGTCATTTAGAAAATGTATGGAGAGATTAAAGATTGATAGTCGTACAAATGTTTTTTTCTTTAAATAAAAAATTGACTTATTATTTTTTATATTTTGAAAAATATTTTCCCTTTCATATCAAATACCTTGAATTGTATACAATTTTATCATACCAAAGTCCTGAGAGACAATTTTTCTTGAAGAGGATCCACATTCAACAAGACCCCATAAGTTGTTTTGTCATAATCACTAGAAGGCAAGCGTAAGGAAGACCTACAAAAATGGGTCCTTAATTAAGAAAAAGAAGGTATTATAATTATCAAAAAATTTCTTACACTGACGATAAATAGTGAAATAGAGATCAAATATATACCTGGTCTGATCACTACACATTAGGACTATAAAATTGTTGTTATCTCCTTTAAATATTCTGAAGAAAATTGCAGTATACTCTTGCATGTCTTTAGATGCCAAAACTAGTAAACCAAAAGGGCCAAGCCCACCTTTTACTGTTGCACCTTTTATGCTACACACTAGTTGTGGATTATTCCAATTTGCTTCCCATTTCTCTGCATTTTCCAACGTTTTAGCTGAAAATGACATTTCTACATCTGCCTGTAACCCAAATTATAGTTACGATTAGTTAAAAACCGAAGGAATCTAAAGCTTTGGTGATCATTGGACAATATCACCTCGGAATTTGGCTCGTCAACAAGCAATTTCCTATAGAAATGTGTTAGTGTGACACTTCAAAATGTTATTGATGGGCGTGATATTTGTGCTTTGGACTTGAACCTACTTAAAGAAAGTAAAATATTTGGCAAGTTCTGGCTCGGCCACGGCCCAGGATTTCGAAAATATATTGACAGCGAAAAATTTTCTTTACCTGTGTAGCATTGACTCCAGAAATTTCACGTATTGATCCTGGCATAAGCACTGTAGTATCTTCAATAACTGGGTTCATTCGAAGCTTTTCAATTTCAACTATCGGCCATTGAAGCAGCTGATTTCCAGATTTATGAAGCCAAATCCTTCTAGGAATTCCTTGAAGACCAGCCCATCCTCTCATACTATTAATCTCAAGATTATTAACCGATTCATTAACCCATCCAAATAAAATCCTCCTACTAGTAGAACTATCGAAAAAAGTTTTCGATGCATAAAATTTACCATAATCATATCGAAATCCTAATCCAATATCAAGTGATCTGTTATCCGGGATAAAAATATCATTAGTCGGATTGTATGTACCAATTGTGTAGTAATCAGTGTTTGCTGTACTTGCCTTGAATACATGTTTCACATTTTGACCTATTGTGGAAGTTTCTAGACCATTTTTACTGATCTTTGAAACAGGGAAAAAATCAGGGCATTCCCACATTCCAGAATTGTTCAAAAAATGCAGTGGATTTTCAGCTTGAATCCAATCAATGAAGTTTTTGCTTCTATACAATAACCCAATTCCGCTCCCGTTTTGTTGATTTCCAACTACCATTCTCCAATTTCCGTCAGGATTTAGCCAAGCAGTACTTGGATCTCTGAAATTTTGTCCATCAATTTTGTTCACCGAATTCGGTGCGATCAATGGATTATAAGGTGATTTTACCCATTCTGTAAGGTACGGGTCAGCTACATTTTTGGGGACTGCTAGATTTTGTACCTGGATACCGGAGAAATCTAAGCCGGTGTAGAGAACTGCCGGTTTTCCGCCAGAGAGAAGAGTTGTAGAACCGGTAAAACAGCCTTTGAAATCGTAAGGCTCTGATCGGAGAAGCGCCGGCGGCTGAGGAGTCCAGTTGACGAGATCAGTGGATGTGGAATGGCCCCATACGATGTTACTTGTTTGTGCATCGTAAAGATTGTACTGATAGAACAAATGGTAAATCCCCATGTATATCACTGGTCCTGCATGCATAACGATTTTCATGAATGACTTTTGTCGTACCAAACACAAACTAACTTTGAGAAACTTACCATTAGGATCTGCGGAACGAAAACCAACAATTGTAAATTTGATCACCATTGACAACACAAAACAACAAAAAGAATTAGGGTTATATGGCACAAGGTAGAAATGATCATCTATTTATTTTCTTCACTTTTTGATTAATCAATGACTGATATTACCATTCATCCAATACTTAGCAGGTTGAAAATGATAAGCAGTGCGATATATGTGATCGGGTGTTTGTATGACACGAGAAGAAGCTTCAAATAGTCTAATATTGCCATAGCCATGAATTGAAATGAATACAAAAACTCCAAGCCAAACACTTCTAACATATCCCATCTTTTAGTTGAAGATGGCAACTACATTTCATTTTTCTATTATATAGAAGAGCCAAGTGGAAGGACCAAAGATTAAAATTTAATTTCATTCTAATAAAAATTAACGATCAAGGTAAAAATATAATTTCGCACTAACAATAATTGAATTATAACAAAAATTATTCTATTTCACCATTACTTAAATTTAATCTTAATGTTTTTTCCGTTCGTTATGCTTATCTAAAGTGTTTACTTTTAATATAAAAATTTATTATGAATTAATTATTTTTCACCTGCATTTTGACTCAAATTAATGTACTTCAAAATAAAAGAAATTAATACTAATATATACTAAATTGAAATTAAAAAAAAAGTTAAAAAATAACTTTACAAATAAAAATGAATAGGTAAATAAATATATTTGCATATAAGATGATCAAGAACTACCTCATGTTAAATTACTGTAATATATATTACTAACTTTTGTTAATATTTTAAAATTCTCATTATTTGAAGTAAAACATTCATTCATCATGTATATAAATTAATTTAGAAAAAAAAAATCTCACTGCACTAAGTTGTTCTCTTAATTTTAATGAATATAAATACAAGATATAAAATAACTTTTTTTTTTATCCTTTTGTCACTTTGTAAAGAATGAGATGATTTATTCTAATTTTCATCAAGCATGTCATTATTGTTGTTTGTTAAACACCTATAAGACAAATTTTAAGTGTATTAAAATTAATCTATAGATGGATCAATAGACTTTATTGCTTCATATAGTTTATAAAAATTGCTAATACGTGAGATTCTTAATTTCAATCTATTCTTTTGAATAAATTTTTAAATAAAATAGAAAAAAAATATTATTAAATTAATTATTTAATTTGAATATATATGTTTGACATGGTGTTAAAATAATCACTGGAGCATGAGTGAAGTTATTAGAGACATAATGACTAATACACTCCCTTTATTTCAAAAAAAAAAAGATTTAATTTAATTTAAATTGAAGTTTAAAGAATGGAATGAGACTTTCTAATCTTATAATTTTAAATTAAAATTATATCAAAATATCTTTTAATTTAATGACCTTAAATATATTAGGTGAATATCATTTTAAAAAAAACATTTTTTTAAACAGACTAAATAAAAGAAAATTGGACCAAACAAAAGGAATGTTTAACTTTTCCCATGTGCAAAGTTGGTTCCTGAATGTGTTATACATAAGTTAGAAAAGTAAAATGGACCATTCTTCTTCGCACGCGTTAAATTAATGATGGGAAGAAGTTACCAGGTTATATTCAACAAATAATTTTTCCGTGAGATATAGATATATTTTTTCGTATCATAATATTTCACAAGGAACAATAATTTAAGATCAAAGCAACACGTGAAATTTTATCGAAAGTTACTAGCAATGATGCAGAGACCATATCTCAAGTTGGGCCTGAACGGGTAAACCGAAAAACTGGACCATTGACTTTGCATCAGTGTAGGCCCAATCTAGAAGCGGATGGACAAATGTGTCCATGACTCTACTTCTTCCAAATTGTAGATCGGAAGAAGTAGAGCCATGAACATTTATATTCGAGAATCACGTTAACTAATATTTAAAAATAAATGATATTCTTCTTGTCATCAGATGAAAAAGTATAGTTTTAAAAAGTCTACACAATTTGAATTTCTAAAAAAAAAAAGTGTTATATAAACTAGAGGTACAAGGCCGAATAAGCAAATTTATATACATAAAACATTGGAAAACTATCTTTTATTCTGTTGTATATTTGACTTAACATTAGAAATCTAATATTGTACGTATGGAATGGATTGGAAATCAGTAATACGTCATTGATTAATTTATTAATGAATATTTCTCCCATGCCCCAACTGCATGTCCAGTATAAGAAAAAGTGTGAATTACTACTTTTCAATGTATTCTTATGTCTCTTTGACTTTAGAAAAAAATAATAAGAATATATATAATGACTTCAATCTAGTTTATAGAATGTCCAACTAGATTTAAAAATAAAGCAATATTGATTCAATTTAACTTTAAAAGTTTAAAGAAAAATAAGATCGAGCTGGTTTGAACATATAAAGCGGAGAAGGAGAAGATGAGCCACTTATCAGATGGTTCAAACATGCTAGTAAAATCAACTCTTGGTTATGTTTTAAATACTTTTAAAACAACTGATTATATTTTAAATAAGGGAAATTGAATTTTTCCCGACTTTTTTCCTAATGGGCCGGCCCAAAACGATAATTAAGGCTGGGCCCACATATCGACGAAATTTCTCAAACTCAAGACTCCTGGCCCAGCCTCTATTTTTCGTTTACAACCGTTTTGTTCTTACAAATCTAACAGTTGAAACGAAACCGGAGCGAGGAGTTTAGCTGCCGGAGTTACATCGGAACTGCAAAATCACAAGCCAAAATGGCGGTATTTCTCGGAATTGTTCGTCCTCCTTCCCATTCACTCTTTTCTATCACTCGTTTCACTCGTCAATTTTCTTTCACCAATAACAATTCAATCTCCATATCTAGAAAAAGTTTTTCTCGATTCAAACCCATCGTCACAGCTTCTCTTCATTCTAGTAAGTATCTTCCCAATTTTTCAATATTTTTCGCTACGTTTTGGTCATTCTAACGGTATTACAGTTCATTAGATTCTTCACATACGTCGGTAGTAATTTTAATCATGTTACAGGTTCTGCAAATTCTCCAAATGGAGCTGAGATATCTACAAATCAATCTGAGCTAATATTTTTGGGAACAGGAACAAGTGAAGGAATTCCACGAGTGAGCTGTCTCACTAACCCCGTGAAAACGTGCCCCGTAAGCCTGAGAAACCTAATACAGCATCCTTTTTTGTGTTTTAGTGTAGTTTTTCGAATTACAATTAGTGGTTAGACTATATGGCTTTGTTAATGTTCTATTACAGGTGTGCTCAAAAGCTGCTGAACCGGGTAGCAAAAATAGGAGACTGAACACCAGCATCCTTATTCGCCACTCCAGGCCATCCGGCAATCGTAACTTTCTTATAGATGTTGGCAAGTATGTTAGAGACTTTTAGATCATAATTTTTTGTGAATGCGTTTGTGTTTCTGTTAGTTCTGAGATAACTCATAATCTTACTGATGTTGTGTAAGTCGGAATGGGGTAATATTTTGTTTGTTCCGTAAACTTAGTTAATCCTGATTCAATTATATGCTTCTGTAGCTTCATGTCGGGTTACCACAAAAGTTTTCCAGATAAATATATATGTGGGGAAAACAAAACTCATTAGATTCTAGTTCCTTATTGTCTAAGAGCATTTTCTCTATGTGTGATCCAGGTTCTTCTACCATAGTGCTATGAAATGGTTTCCCGCTTATGGGTAAGCCACTTCCACTTGACTTCATATATTAATTTGTTTTACTCTGAAATGATTATCTCATTATGAAGCTACAGATACTAGTGCTTTGAAATGATTTTGAACTTGCTAAGTTAAATGGTCGAGACAACAGAACTTCAGTGGTTATTTTTCTAGGATTAACTGTTTCCTTCTATTTTTTCCTTTCATGAATTAGATACTTTGAAGTATTGGCTTTCTGCCCCTTTAAAGTAAAAAAACTTCATAACTTGTTGCTTATGTTCCGTAGGACTTACTCGTGTCTAGTTTTTCTGTGTCAGGATAAGAACACTTGACGCGGTCATTATTACTCATTCTCATGCTGATGCAATTGGAGGTCTCTGATAAAATCACTTGTGACGTTTAGTGCAATGTGGATATGTCTTTTCCTGTCCATTCGGTGCACCCTACCCCCATACCCCCCAAAAGTTCTCCTTTCTCTCTATATCTAAGCAAAGTGCACACACTACTGCAGGTATGGATGATCTTCGCGATTGGACTAACAATGTCCAGCCCTCCGTTCCAATTTATGTGGCCAGTCGTGACTTTGAGGTCTGAGTTCATCTGAAATTTATTAGATGCAGTGCTTGTTATCTCATCATGAAGCTACAGATACAAACATTCGTGCCTCTAAATGAGAATGCATCATCTAATTTTTAGCATCTCTTGGTTAGCTGAGTGATTGCAGAATTGAATCCATTCAGCCTTTATCATTTTCTTGATAGCTAATACTTTAGTCATGTGTTAGTTTGTATTACTGAGCAAATTGCAGTGTAAGTTCAAGAAAATTATAAATAAATAAAGAACTTGTCCTAGCTGAAAAGATTCAACTTGTAGATTCTATATATATAACAACCAGGTTGCAAGAATGCACGATGATACATCGTTATTGAAGTGCTAAGCTAGGTTGATGGGACTGTCCAACAATCATTACATATTGAATCATGTCCTTCTGCTGAAGGATTTTTATTTTTAGCTACTGGCTGGAATTCTCAGAAATTACGATATTTGTTTTATAGTTCACTGGTATTCTTTTGCCACTCTGAGATAGCAACTTGCTCCAGAAAATGTTATTTTTATCAGCTCAGGATTTGCAAATTGTTCTTTCATTTCAGGTGATGAAGAAAACTCACTATTATTTGATAGACAAAAGTAATATCATCCCGGGAGCTGCAGTCTCAGAGTTGCAATTTAACATCATAAAGGAAGATCCATTCGTTGTACATGATCTTAAGGTTGAGGCTTCTTACTCTACTAGTTGATTTTGTTTGATTCATTAGTACCTTTTTAAATATTTTACTGCTAAAGGATGTGCTACTATGTCTATAGCAACTGTTTTCCAACGTAAGTGATATTTTGACCCTCTTGTTTTCGTGCGGATCATATTTTTGCACTTATTATTTGGCTGGTATCCTAGCTTCTTACTATAATATTTGTGTAGGTAATCCTTTTTGTCAAAACATGAGTACTTGGCCATGACACTATAAAGTGTAGACTTTGATTTAAGATTTAAATTGTTGTGACCGCCTGACCTGTAGCAACTTGAATGCATTTAATTTCCAATTGCTCAAAGTCCTAGTGAGGGTAGCATCTCAGGGAGGATGCAGTGAGAGGCAAAAAATTTGCCGTTGTCATGAATCTGTGGTAAATAACTTAGACAAGGCTATGAAAAACTGTAGCTTATTGTTTAAGAAAACTCATGCTTACCAGTTACCTATATACATGCTATATGGATAGAGAAATTGTACAACACTAATATGATGTACAAGGTGTGCATGTACTTCTTTTGACTTGGGCTTTCTGTAGTTATCGTTGTCTCTCTCACAATTTGGTTAATCCTTCCATCGGTCTTCTGATTATTTGTGCGTTATAAGTTGAAATGGTTAGTTATCATGGCTTTGTTATTATCATGCCTAATGGTTCCCATGGTCCCTAGTAGGTAATTCCTTTACCAGTCTGGCATGGTTCTGGTTATCGTTCTTTGGGCTTTCGATTTGGGAATACATGTTATATCAGGTAAACCTATTCTCTGATTTTGAAGTTTTCATCAGCAGGCATGAACCTCAGCCACTAACGTTTTCCTTCTCTCCTACCCCGACTTGCCTTTACTAGCGATGTAAGTGATATACCAGAAGAAACTTACCCACTTCTACAGGACTGTGAACTCCTTATCATGGTTGGTCTTTCTCTCTCTAATCCTTTGAATTCTGCGATCCTTTATCCAGCAATTGATTAATGTTAAATGCTAAACCAACTAACCAATTTCTTGTCACATTTTTAGGATGCTTTGCGACCAGATAGATCTTCTGCAACACATTTTGGACTTCCAAGGGTGAGCTCCAATTTATTTATTTTTAATCTATTTTGGGCTGGCTTGGGGGCAGTGGTATATCAAGAGCTTTTAACAGTTGAATAATATACATTCTGTCATTGACATTTCCATAATAACAATTGAAGGCTCTGGAGGAAGTGCGGAAAATCAAACCAAAAAGAACACTTTTCACTGGTATGTTGGTTTGTTCTTTTCGTATTTTAGTTATCTCTTCTCAATTTTTTGTGCCCATGCCTATGTTGGTTCTTTCTTTTTTCTATTTTACTTCTGTACATGATAGGCTAGACTTTTAGTATCCTCCTTCAGCTTGTGCCTTTCATACCATAGTAAATCTTCAAATACCAGAGCTTTTATTTATCTTTGAGGAAGATTTTTACACTACAATTATATGAATGACTTGGTTAATACCAATATTATAATGCCGATACATCAAATAGTGATTGAAATTTGATGCACATCACGAACTGCTTCACAGTTAACAAGCACATGTTTTTATGTTATTTGAAGGCATGATGCATCTCATGGACCATGAAGTTGTAACTGAAAGGCTACTGAAACTGAGGGAAACAGAAGGCGTCGATGTGCAACTCAGCTATGATGGGCTTCGAGTACCCGTGAGCTTGTAAGCTTTCAGGTTTGACTCAACAAACCTGGCTATTCTTTCTGAATAAATGAAGATCATTCAGAATTTTGCATCAATAATTCTTTAGGGCCAATGTGAAGTCCCACTAATTCTTGCATATGCATATATTAGTTTCAATTATGTTGAAGGAAAATAGTTGCACTTTGTTTACCAAAACAATTTACAAGCACAAATTTGAGATGTTTTTTGTATCGAAAGACTGATATAGGATTTTAAGTCAGCTGCTGGCAAACGTCAAAATACAATTGCATCCACGATCATTATTTCTTTATGACGATGGATGAGATCTGCAAATTCAATACGAATATTATTTTCAACAGTATATATTTTGAATTATTTCATCTTCTTTTTGTTTCTTTTTCTGTGCACGCACTGATCAACATGGTCTTGACGCTTGTCTCCTATGTGTGTCTTCACGGAAATTCAAAATATGAAAGAATTAAATATATAAGAAGTTAATGGGGTTTGCCGTTAAGTGTACATAAAGAAATAATAATTGACCTAAGAATATACAATATAATTTTCTGGCAAAGGTGTTCAGATGAACATCATAATTCCCCTAGCTCCACCCGTGTTTTTATGACATACTAACAAAGAATAATATACCTAGTGTAATCTAATGAGTGGATTCTGGTGAGAGTAGAAAGCACTCAACCTTGTCCTAAATTAGGAGGTAGAGAGTTTTTTTTTTATTTCAATAGACTCTCAATTCATGAAGTATAAGAAATAACATGAATACTTCTTTTCAATGACATTCTGGCACCTTGCAATTCTCTTTCTAGTACCTTTTAAAAATGATATATAAGTAGCAATTTGTTGGAGTGTAGTATGAAAGGAATCGTATCGTGGTCTTTTCAAGTTTTAACATCAGTGCCTTGATAATGGAAAAGAGTGGAAGAAATTAGAAATGTTGTGGGGTGAAGAAAAAGGAGGCAAACATAAGAAAAGATAAATAACAAATGGAGGGTGTGGAAAAGTTGAAAATGAGCAGGCAAGGCAAATGACAATTTTCTTCTATGTAAACACGACACATGTTGGAGTCAACATCTTGTATACGGAAATAATTGAGTATGGTACTGCTCTTTTTAATAAGCATGAGCTGCAAAGCTGGTCAACTTGAGGGCTGAGGTTATGTGCATAGTAACAACTAAAATCTTTTTTCTTCAAATTGTGACATATTCTTCATTATTTGAATTCTTATCTATCACCATATTGTTGTCATGAGGTGTAATTTAAATAGAAAAATTGTATATAATGACAAATTAATAAATAATATAAATATTCTTTGATTTAATTGTGTTTTGTAGCAAATTGTTTGCCAGTCACCTCTTTCTCTCAAACTTTCGCTCGCCACTCTTCTCTCTCGCTTGCTTTCTTCCACTTTTATACAAACATTAGTGTATAAAATTTGTTTCTATTTGTATAAAACAGAGGAAATTGTATAAATACATATATTTTTGTTCCCATCTCTCCCCTCTCCTAGATTTCGCTCGCCACTCTCCCTAATCTCGCTTGCCACTGTCGCCTCTCTCACTTATACAAACAGAAGCAAAATGTATAAATTGCAATTCTGTTTGTATAAAATGAGAGAAGATTGTATATACACATGTAAATACATATATTTTCATCCTATACATTTATAATCATACAATAAAAATACTCCCTTGCCCAGTTTCTTTTGCCTTTCTCTCTTTTTCGTTTTATAAAATTCGAATTGTATAATTTTTCTCTTTTTCGTTTTATACAATTCGATTCAATTGTATGTTCCCTGTCCAAGTCTCTTTTGCCTTTTTCTCTTTCACATTTTATACAAATTCAAATTATATATAATAGTTCTATATACTTGTAATTATACAATTCGTTTTATATACTCCTCTTTCTAAGTTTCTTTCTCTTTCTCATTTTACACGCTTCGTTTTATACAATTCACTTCAATTGTATATATATAGTGAATTATACATTTATATGTTTGTTATGTAGTGCAATTATGCAAACTTTATTATAGCGTACAAATATGAATTTTATGTTTGCTATATGTAAAAGTTGTCCAATTTATATAGCCCCATATATAGGGATTGTTATTTTTTCTCTAATAAGTTAGCTACTCTTGAATTGACACATATTAAGAATACAATTGTTGACATAGTAAGTTTATCACTTTACTCTTATTAATTATAAAGTAGATGAAATAAATTTTAAGATTTTCAAAAAATTTTACCTTTTTCAAAATAATTAATTGAGAATATAATAAATAAAAAAATTATCAAAATAAATAAGTAATTAGGAACAAAGGAAATATCTATTCAGACATTCATGCAAACCTATCGAAACTAAGGATATAATAAAAGAGGTCGCTCTAATATTTTAGTTATAATATTAACACGTTTGCTTTAAATTTAAAGTTTGTTAGGGTTCTTTAGTTTTCCCAATCAATTATTGGCTAGTAAAGAACTAAATGCTAAAATACAATTCCTTTATGTTTTAGGTAGTTTGTCTGCTTTAATCTGACATAGGAAAAGTATAGAACGTTTTTAAATTTAGCATACATATTTATACAATATACTATAATATTCTTACGGTCTGTTTGAATTGATTTAAAAGTCGATCAAATTTATTTTTAAGTTAGTTTAAGTTTTTGAGAGTTTTTGGCAAAATTAAAATAATTTTAAAAAAAAATTGAAATCATAAGACAGACTCTCTTTATTGTTTATTTCTTAACTTAAAAGTTGGGTTTTTAAGCTTAATCCAAATAGGTGCTGAATTTTATGATTTAAACGAGAAAAGTTGAATTAAAAATAATAGAAAACAGAATTTTATTAATTTCTACCTAATAATTCAAATTTTATTTTGTTTAACCAACATAAAAAAACGAAGAAAGCTAAGCGTGGACAAGGACAGTATACGGACGCAATTTGCATGGGGTTTTGAAATGTGGAATACGGCAGGGGCCACGTCTACTGTTGGTCCCCACAACAGTTTTCCTCATTAGACTTCTACTGCAATTTCCTTCACCACACGCTTTGAATTTTATTTTATTTTATATTATTTTCTATATTTATATAATATAATTATTATGAATTTAAGAAAAATAAAACAATTTCAATATTTCATCATCTTCGAGAAATTATTCTATAATAATTAAATTTGTTAAATAGAAAAGTACACTTTGATGGACTTCTTCTAAATAACTAAAATTCAACACGAGGACCACTTTATAAATTTTAACTCGATAAAAATAAATTGTGCCATATAAATTTAAAAATAGCAATACCACTTTTTAAATTCTCTTTTAATCAATTATATACATTGTGTTACCTTCTAACTAATTCTAGATGTCTTTTGTCAATCTATGTAATACACTTCAACTTGCTCGTAACTAAGTGAAATAGAAAGTAAGCAAAGGACTGATGAACTATAGGTTATAATTAATATTATAAGTTTCTGTTAAAGAATGATTATAGATAAATCTATTTTCTTTATACTATTAGATGTATATAATTTAATGTTACTTTTTTCAAAAAGCTAGAATTGTAAGTGTCATGTACACATCGTTATCGATGGGTTATTGGAATTGTCTGTATGTAGTTGTTTCCTAACTCCTTCTGCGAAACTCGAATTGTCTCTCAACGCAACAATTCTTTTCTACGTCTTCCATTTATTTTTATTTGTTATTTTAACTTTTACACCATTTTTGACAAATAATAGCTTGGGTCATAGCGGGATTAACCACATATATATATATATGCTTCGGATTTATTTATTTACTTTTAAAAGATATTTAAACTCTATTCCATTATATATATGGACCGTGTTGAAAAACCAAATTCATTTTCTCTTGAAATTCTAAATATGTCAATAACAAATGAATTATACTAATTCACAATAATATGCTACTTTTATCACAGTATACAATTAATGTATATTATTAAATCTTGAAAAATAATTTTTAAAAAAAATAATATTAAAAATTAAAAAAAAATATTTTTTTGATAGTTCAAAATAAAATTTAAATTTTAAAATAATAAAATAAATAAAAATAAACGGATCGAAATAAGGTCTTCTCTTCTCTTGCTGTCATGCATAATATGACTATATACTGCTCCTCCTTTTTAAGTAGGTCCTCTATTTGCTCAATCATTTTAGCTTTGCATCGGACCCACTTATATGCCTCCTCGTGATTTTCTCTCTGAATATACTGTATTACTAATTGCTTTTATAAAATTTATTGACTCCATTAATTTAAATTTAAATATAATTTAATGTGGGATAAATTTATGTTGAGGTAAAATGTCTTTTAAATATAATTTAATGTGGGATAAATTTATGTTATCAGCTGAGTAGTAAGCCTCCTTGGGATAATTATCAATATCTCTTCCTATCAAAATGAGATTAGGAGGGCGCCCTTTTTAAAGAGCCAGCCTGAGGTAAAATGTCTTATATTTAAATGTGAGGTTCTGATCAAATTAAGCTATTATATAAAGTAATTTATTAAAATAATGTGTTTTTTTAAAATTTTATAAAATTAGTATAAACGATATTTTATAATGACGTTTTAGGGTATATTTTAATTTTAAAAGCTGACGGCGTTAGATTGACATACGTTACTCACAGTAACATTTTGCTCCTAAAACATTACTGTAGTAAAACGTTACTCAAAATAATGTTTTAGGAGTAAAATGTTACTTACAGTAACGTATATCAACCTAACGCTGTTAGTTTTAAAAAACGAAATATACCCTAAAACGTTACTATAAAATACATTTATACTAATTTTATAAAATTTTAGAAAAATATATTATTTTAATAAATTACTTTATATAATAGCTTAAACGTTATCAATACCCAGGCTTATTTGGTTGGCATTCCCTACTTCTCTACTTATAAATCTTATCTTCGATTTAATGTTTCAGTTTACATAATTATTCTTTACATGTAAAGCAGATAATATACACTCTTATTTTTTAGATAACAATTTTTATATTTTAAAAAAACTTAGCTATAAATATTTTTTATCATGAAAGTCATGACTCAATTAACTGATAACATTCATTAAGTTGATTATTTTATTAAAATATTCTTTAGCATATGCACTGAAATGGTAAAAAGTTTTGAAAGATATCTAAGGAATGTAAACAAGAAAAAGAAAATAATAACTTTTTAATTTCTTAAAAAGATTACATACTTTGACACAATTTTAAAAGGCTACAAAATCACTTAAAAGGAAAGTTATTTTAAACAAGTCTACTATATGTATATATATAACGTTAAAAAAATTATGTCAAAAAATTATATTGCCTCTAAACTAAAGTTGAAGATTTGTTAACAAAAAATTTGTACTGATCGTTGATACTGTAAAAGTAGTTTTCTTGTTTTTTTGTGCTAGCTCATGATCTAAACGAGTCGCACATACACCCTGACATTATAACTAAAAATATATATATATTCGATAAAAATTTGAATTCCATCGCTACCGCTTAACATAGCACCTATTTTATTTCCTGTTCCAATCTACTTTTACTCAGATGCATGCATGAATAGCTAAGAGATGTCTATACTTATGGTAAATTAATAATGGAATCTAAAAAACTTGTGGAGAACAACACGAGTAGCACTCTAGGAGCTCACATTAGAGTTTTTTTTCTTAATATATATATATTTTCTGATCACCTTTTTAAACTATATTGATTTTTATAAAATAAAGCAGATCATACAGTATAGTAGTAATATTTTATTTTTTTTAAAAGTGAGAAATGAGCTGGGAGAGCATGTCTGATACTTTGGGTAGAGCAAGATCCCATTTCCAAAACTAAATCATTGAGGAATAAACAAGAAAATGACAAAAACAATACTATTATTTTATTATACTTTACCATACATTTTTTTTCCTCGTAAACTGTGGATGTATATTTTTTATCTGAACACTACCTAATAAGACAATACTTTCTTTCATTTTTTAATAAATGTATTGTTTGTTTTTAATTACTTTCTTTATTAACGCTGAAAAACTCGAATATGATATCATTAAAAATATTTAGTATACAGTAGTTACCTATAGTACATTGCAGGGATGTCGACCGAAAGAAACAAATTCAGTTTTAATTTAATTTACTATAGTTTTTTTCATATTTAATTTTGATATATTTTATTTGTGCAAAAAGTTAATTTGAAAGCTCTACTTCCACAAGGCGGAGGGCGGCCAGATGGGATGAAACTCATATATAATTTTACAAAATAAAATCTTAAGAAAATAAAATATACGCGAACTTTAGTAATAAAAACCGACTATAAGCACTGGATAGTGCAGGTTAATTCATATAAACATTGTTAGCCCGTGAAACCACACTATTTTTCAGTGTAAAGTCTTTTTACCCCTAGAAAGTTACCCAGTTTTTCAGGTTGATAGCTGTATTACTTTCTCCCTAATTGGGATCCGTGAAGATGCACAGCTTTCGAAAATGTTCTTGATCAATATACTTTCCTTTTTAATTTTTTTACAGTTTTGTCAATTTCACACTTTTAAATAGTAAACAAAATATTGGATTAAAAAATATAAAACAGAATCAAGTCATCCACAAAAGATATACTAGTCCATCGCTTTAATTTGCTTTTTAAAAAGGTCTCACTTTTATGCTCTCATATTCAAAATTCAGCAAAAACAAAATAGATGATAAATATCATGTGGACTTGATTTTGTTATAGTTATAAAAAAAAATGTGACTTGATTTATAGACACAACAATTTCAGTGGTTTATTTTAAGTAGTGAGAAATTTTTTTCTCTAGTCACCTTCGCCTGCTAAAATTAATAATAAGATGAGAGAAGAGGATGGAGGGAAAAGTTAAGGCAGAGGTCACTATTTCCATTTCTTTATACTTGTTATAAATTTTTTAAAAATTAGAATAGACTGCGTAATGTCAGAAATTTCTGCAGAGTTTTGTCTTTCAAAAATAAAATAAAATTAAGGTTGAATGATTAATGAAATGAAAGGTGGAAAAAAAGGGAAAGGGAAAAAATAGTAACCTTTTAGACAACACTGGTATCTGTGTTATTACTTATTAGAAATAGAATTAAGAGTTAAATCAATTACTCAATCATATATATAACTGTAAAAATAATACTATTGTAGAAAGTTGCATTTGAGTAAAGGGGTCTACTGGTGTGTACCAATGATGTTTAAATCAAACATTTCCAAATCTCAAATCTTTATAAATACAAAATCACATACTCTTTTTACATGGTTTGCTTTTTGATGAGAGAAGGAAGGAAAGTAATTTTTTATTTTTTTTTTCATTTGAGACTTTGTTAAAAGGCAGAATTATTAGTAATAATACAATAAAGAAAGATGAAATTTTTTTAAAAAAATTTCTTTGTTTCTGGGGTTTGAGAAGAGAACAAAAGAAAAGACAGAAAGTGCACGTCAGAGTTAGCCGTAGGGTGGTCTCTTTCTTTCTTTCTTTCTTGTGGAGAGGATTACAGAGAGGATTCCCTCTTCTCGTCCAAATCTCATTCTCTTTCTTAACAGTTGTAAGAAATTTGGTCCAGTTTTATTTGTTCTTATATGCATGTTTATTATTGGATTTTCTTGATTTTAGCAAGTTAATTGTATATCTATTGGAAACTTGAATGAAAAAAAAAACAGTCTTCTTTCTTTCTCATTTTCTTTTGGGGTTTGGAAAAAACAAGATTTGTTTGTTGGGTTGATGCCAAAGGAAGAAGAAACCACAAGACTGGAGAGGTAGTAGCTGAAGGTGTTTCCTTTTATTCTTTTCTTTTTTTCAGGTTCAACCAAATTAGTGTTCTTTTTTCCTCTATGTAGTTTTGTCCATTATATATATCATCTACTTTATCTTTTTCTAGGTTTGTTTTTTGTCTTTAGATTTCTTAACATATATTTATATCTTTCTAGCTCATACTTGTTTTAAGGAAAGATCTTTGCTACCCCATCATGACTAGCTATATATACATATATGAGTGTCTTAAAAAAGTCTCTTTTATCAAAATCAGTTGGTAGATTAGCTTGAAGAGGGAGACGAAAGAGATCAAGATTATGATGATGAAAGATTTAATGAATCAACAAGCTCAAGTACCTGGTGTTGTTATGGAGGAGAACATGTCCAATTTAACTTCTGCATCTGGTGAAGCAAGTGTATCTTCTTCGAACCGAAATGATAATAATAATAATAATAATAATAATATTTATCCTCATCATCAGTATAACTTTGCTCCTCCAAATCAACAAACTCAACCTGCACAACAAATCAAGAAGAAGAGAAATCAACCAGGCAATCCAGGTTTGAATTCAAAGCTTTTTGAAGTACTTTTGTTATATGCTTTTTTTTGGGTTATGAAATCCTTTCAACTTTTTCTTTTCCCCTTTTTGGGACCAATCATGTGGTAACAGACCCAGAAGCTGAAGTGATAGCTTTGTCACCAAAGACACTAATGGCAACCAATAGATTTGTTTGTGAAATCTGTAACAAAGGATTTCAAAGAGATCAGAACCTGCAGCTTCACAGAAGAGGACACAACTTGCCATGGAAGCTCAAGCAAAGAACAAGCAAAGAAATAAGAAAAAAAGTGTATGTTTGCCCAGAAACTAGCTGTGTTCATCATGACCCAGCAAGAGCTCTGGGAGATCTCACTGGAATCAAAAAACACTTCTGTAGAAAACATGGAGAGAAGAAGTGGAAATGTGAGAAATGTTCAAAGCGTTATGCAGTTCAATCTGACTGGAAAGCTCACTCCAAAACTTGTGGTACCAAAGAGTATAGATGCGACTGTGGAACGCTTTTTTCAAGGTAACTAACAATGGGAATCATTCATATATACAGTATTTTCCAAAAGCATATGAAGACGAATCATGAAAAAGAACACCAAAAAGTCTAGTACTGTTCTCTCTCCTCTTCATGCTCTTTAATTTATCTCAAATTTAAATTTGTATTCTACCTTATGTATTCTTGAGGTCGTCAATGGCAGAAGAAGAATTTCAGCACTGAATATATTTAGAAGAAGAATTTCAGCACTGAATATATTTATTTGTATTTTTTCAGGAGGGATAGTTTCATAACTCACAGAGCATTTTGCGATGCTTTAGCGGAAGAGAGTGCAAGAGCGATAACAGCAAATCCAATTCTGCCGTCTCAAGCTGGTTCTTCCACATCTCAAATGAATTTTCAGTTTCAACCATTTAACCACGAAATTCCAGTTACATTTTCCTTGAAGAAAGAGCAACAAACTGGTTTCAACTTGAGGCCTGAGATTCCGCCATGGCTATTGGTTGGAGGTGGTGGTGGTCCTGGTCCTGGACCTGGTCCTCCACAACCACAACCTATTGACCTAAGTTCATCGATCTTCCAATCATCTAGGTTCAGTGATCAGGACTACACGCAGAGCCACCAACACCACCAACAAGGCTTTATGAACCCTAACCCTAGTCTATCCGGACCTACATCTGGAGCGATGGCCTCTCCACATATTTCTGCAACTGCGTTGTTGCAGAAGGCAGCGCAGATGGGTGCGACCATGAGTAACAAAGCGAGTACTGTTTCTGCAGTTTCATCAGGCCCAGGCCCAGCCATGCTGATGAGACCCCACCAAATTCACGTGTCTGCTACTGCTACTGCTGCTGAGTCTGTTAGCAACGCAACAGATTTTGGACTCAATTTGTCTTCACGTGAAGACCTCCCCACTGGTTTCTTCAATAGCTTGGCTTCATATGGGAATAAAGCTGCTAATCCCTCTGCAGTTATTACTCCTGTTACAATCCCATTATCAACCGCACCTCATCCCACTCCTTCTACTCTTCAGGATATGATGAATTCTTTCTCATCCGTTAATCCTACCGGATTCGAAGGATCAAATTTCGAAGATCCATTTAGCATTTTGAATCCCAAAAACAACAATGGCAGCGGTAACGATGATATGACCAAAGATTTCTTAGGCTTAAGACCTCTTTCTCATAGCGACATTTTCAACATAGCTGGTCTAGTTAATAGCACTCCGAACGAAACTCAATCACAAAATCACAAAACATGGCAAAGTTAAGTACAATTAAACCGCAAAATGCAGGTTCTTTTTCTCCCCTTTCTAGTCAATTATGTCTGTTATTGTTAGATCTGTATTACTAGTATGCTCTTCTTTTTTTTCTCAGAATAAAGAGATAGCTAGCTAGAACTGGGAAGAAAAACCCTAGCCTAGATAGTCTCTTTTGTTGTTACCCAGCTGTTATGGATAGTGACATTTTTATACAAAAATAGTGCATTCTCAAGCACTCGGATGAGTAAAAATTAAATTCATGGAAGAATTTTTGTCTTTAGAGCATTTTTTTTGCACTTCCATTCATCGAATTTATTATATCTGATAGTTTATCATCCATAAATATGTAGTGTTTGTTGTGTTTAAGTACTTGGACCACGTTACTGCACTCTTTTCTATATTGATTGTGTTCATGATCTTATAAATGGTATGTTTGTATGAACTCTTTTGGATAGTGACATCCAAATTAATTTCAAAAACTCATGTTTTTTATCTTAATTTTAATAATAAGCAATTAATACGTACGTAGTATCATTTATTGCAATTCGTAAAAGATATATAATAAGTAGTGGTCGATGACCGGCCAGCCGGTTTGTTATATTTATTAAACATATATGACGTGATTGATTTTTAATATAATGAACAAATAAAAATGATCGAAAGATTGAGAAATAATTTTATAAGGTGGAAGTGGGTTCTGCATAAGCATGTATAATATAGGACAAAATTTTCTATTATACTTGTTGTCGAGTTGGTGAGGCACATGTAAACGACCAGCACAAAGCATTTATGACATAGTATATATATATATATATATATATGGATATTCTGAATTTCAACCCAAATTGACCATCTTTTACCATTTAAAGGACCTTAGCTTAAATATACCAGCATGAAAATTTGTCTTTGCTATAGTAAATTATATTTGCATGTACGGGTGGTGGTACCAAATGAAAATTAGCATTGGATTCATTTGATTAGAATATTTAGTAAGATGAATATTTGGGCAGGTGGCTTGTCGATCTAAAAAGTTATGGATATATGCATATTTTATAGTGAAACTTATTAATTAGAGTAGAAGTAGATTAGCCACAGTAAGTAATTGTTTTAAACAATGACCACGATCGTTAGAAGGTTGACTGATATGATTTGAATATGTGTAAATGCACTCTTTTATAGGTTCAATTCCACTTTATTTGATATTGATACATAGTTTTCACTATTATTAACACATAATATTTAAATGTATATTGGATATTAGAGGGAGACAGGTGCATGCAATTGTAAGTGTGGTTGATTTATATTTATAGAAAAAAAAAAAAGATAAAAAGAGAAAGGAGATGCTGTTTGACCACTGAGGTGGGGTGCAATGTGGGCAGCTTCAATCCCAAGGTGGGATCAATTTTGAAGCCCATACAAAAGGCTGTTAATTACTTTCTTTTTGAGCTTACTATCTACCCCTTAACCTTATTTTCACCAGCCAGTCTAATGTCACTACACACAGCACATATACACACACACGCATGTTTTAATCATGCTGCGCGCGTTTATTTGAAGATAACGGGGACATCACAAAGAAAAATAAATTATTATCAATAGAAGTGATGTCAAACAATACCGTCTTGCATGAATTCTTTTTAGAAATACTGACTTTTGCTAATTATGTTTTGTATAAAATGGAAGTGAAAGAGATGCTTCTAGAAAAGGCTCTTTCAAGTGTTCTATTACTTTCGTTTAAAAAAAAATAACATTTTTTTTTGATAATATTTTGATTTCAGCTTTTTACATGATATATTTAAGGCCACAAAATGAAAGGATAATTTTGTATATTTAATCTTACTTTGATTTACGACTATAAAAAATAAAAATCTTTTTTATACTGTTAAAATCCGTGTCAAATTAAATCAGATAATTATTTGTGAAAGGGAGAGAGTAATTAAGCAAAATAAGTAAGGCTCCTTGGGCACCATTTTGCATACATTAGGTTGACTGGTCAAAATTCACCACCTACATGTTTTTTATGCATTTTTTTTAATAGCAACTAAAAACGAAAATTATGTGAAATAGTAATTAGAATGTATCATTTTATATATGAGAATTATCCAAAATATATTAAAAAGATCGTCAATCGATTATATAAAACTCTTTATAAACTTTTAATTCTAAATAATTAAGATGGATAAGGCTAGAAATACTATAGCCTATTACGAGCGATAGCAAAGCCAAATTATATATAGTGAGCAACCCTTTGTCTCCAAAATAAAGCTCACGACCCCGCACGAAGAAATCCCTTGGATACGGGCATATGAAAATTTGGATTTATTAACGAAGCAATTATATTCTAATTGGGTCTATATACTTATTTTTTAAAAAAGAATTAAAAATAATAATTAAAGAATAGGCCCGAAGTCCCTATTACTTTGTTTAAAATAATAATTGTTGGAACAATAAAGTAATATAATTTCATCAATTAATTTGCATTGATTTTTTTGATTTATGCATGGTGTAAAGTAAATGAACAGTGAAACTGCAAACACTAGATTAATAATTACAATTTCATTCCCGTGCACGTGTATGTGTGCGTATATAAGCAACATCAAAAATTAATGGAGCATGATTAAAGTATACATGAACATACAAAAATATTAGGAACAAGACTTTTTTTATCCGTAGTCGCTATTCTTTAAATGCGTACAGCGTAAAATTGTTGTTTTTATATAATAATTCGGATGTGTATAAGGTAAAATTTCTTTTTTCTATGCAATAATTCGCAAAACACGTACTAGAGGTAATTCACACTTGACAAGTCTGATGAGACGAGCTCGACCAAGAAGGCAAACCCCTTACTTTTACTAGAAAGGGAATTCAAACTTGAAATCTCCAGCATGGAAGTCCTAAACTCAAACCTACTGAACCACCCCACGACCTTTTACACTACAAATCAATAAGAAACTTATAATATAGAACATTATTTTTCCATCTCATCTTCATCAAACCATCTCACTCGAAAAGAAAATAAATTTTCATTAAAATACAAAAAAATAATTGGAAAAAATTGTTTTTTTTTTAATATAGTGAAACATAATAAAGCCACATATATGAACTGCATGCATGTGTTAAAATATAAAAGTGGTTGGCTATAACATGCAATACATGAATTATGATAATATTAATTTGTGGAATCAAGCTAAGACTGAAAGTGACTTTACCAATTGACTACCGGCATTATGTCAACATAACATTCTTTAGATGCCCACTTCCTATCATATTAATTATTAATTATAAATTTAAATATCGATTATTATTTATTTAATTATTACCATATAAATTGAAACAGACGAACGAAAATAAAATTATTTAGCGGATATTGAAATTGCATAGGCAGTTAAGCACCTGTCCTTTTATTGTTAATGAAGAAAGGCAAGTTATATAAGACTTTGTTATAATGAAGGCAGTATGTATTTCATCTTGTGTCATTTTCTGTCAGTCACCATGTTTCTACATTTTTTATATGTTAAATTTTTTATTTGCACAGCTTTCAATTATCTATTAGAGTAGTCAAATGTGTCACATGTTTTATTTCTCATTTTTCAAAATAAGTAAATTATTAAAAGTTAAAAGAAGAAAATTTTTGAGATTTTTTTTTGTTGCATCTTTGATTTTTATTTAATAAAGTTAGTAATTATTTTTACATTTTTTAGAAGTTTAGCTTGGAAATAATTGAAAGGGTAATAATAGAAAGTAATCTATAATTTGTGTTTTTAAATATTTTTAAAAAATATATATAATTTGCGTTAACAATTTACTTAATATAGACTAAATAATTTTTATTATTTTATTTTATATAATTCATTTTCCTTTTTAATCAATCACAAAAAAGAACGATACATATTCTATATTAAGAAATAATTTACTTAAATTCACAATTTACTCTTATAAAATAATTTGTAGCCATAATAAATTTTAAATTTTTTTTTAAAAAAAAATTTCATATCAAGTGAAATAATGAATTGAATTCCCTAGTTAGCCAACGTCCCGATTCCCAACCAACCACCAGTCAAAATTGGTCATGTTACTATCCTTTCATCCCTGTCAACTTTCAAATTCTCTCTCTAATTTTATGTAAAAAAATATTTAAATAAAATTTAGGTATATATACATTATTAATTATTTTACAAATAAAAATGATAATAATATTTGAAAACCACGTGAACAGCTAATAACTCACAATTTTTTAAAAATAAAAAATTATTTAGTGGGCAATAAACTTAAATTGTTTAGAGTTGTCAAATGTCAAATTTAAATTTCAACACAGATAAAAATGATTGAAATTATTTTCATCTGTTTTGAATTTTATGAACAAAGATATATGATTCAAGAATAACGGTAAAAAAATAGTATAGAGGAAGTAGATAAGAATTGTTTGTGATTGTAATAGTTTAGTAAATTTTCATTTATTAAGTGAAATTAGCTAACGTGTACTTCTTTATGCTATGATTAATCAAGTTGACCTTTATCAATATTGTTGTGTTCAAGTTTTTGTAAAAAGTAAAGATGATACATCATGGTCCCTTCTTATGTGAATAATAGTAATAATTGTTAACAACAAAAAGAAAAAGAATAATAATAATTACAAATCTTGGATTTCCAATCATCTTTTCACTTTTTAAACAGATATTGAAATGTGCATGCCCCCTTAGTGCTAAATAATTCATAAAACATCTATCTTTTTTGTTATTTGTTGCAACCTCTAATCATAGAGCTTTTGAAAACTAAGGAAATAAAGTACTTAAAAAGGAAAAAAGCAAAAGACCTTTTCATATATTTATCATTACCCTCAAATTAAACTCTACTCATAATTATAACCAACATCAACGAATTAAAACTTCTTTTGAATTACAAATAATTATTGATTAATACAAAAAATTACTTTTACACTAAGGAGTTTCCAGAACTTGACAATACAATATTGAATTACTTTTATACTAAATTTTTAACCATAGAAATATTTTAGAAATTTAAATTAAATTATTGAAATCTTTATATTAGTAAATTAAGTTTTTTGTATCAAGATCCAACATAATCTATGGTGAAAAATCATTAACATGTTAACTAGTTTGATTTAGTAATCTTTGTCAATTTGAAAGCATTAATATGTGTAGCTTAAAGTTTTATACTATCTTATAAGAAGGGGAAAGAAACAATATATACTGAAAAGAGGTTTAAGATCTCTTATTAAATTTGATATTAGATCATTAATTTTAATTTATCCTTATCAAAATGGTTGAATAAATAAATAGTGTTTTACTTGTTATAGGTATCAGTTAATGCAACACAAATGAATAACTTTTTGTTTGAGCGGAATTTGATATAATTGAAAAATTAGAAGTTAAAAATAGAAATTGAATGTGTGATTAAAAGAAATAATTTAGGACAAATTTTAGTTACTTTTGAATAAATATTAGCAATTGGATGTTACAAGTTCTCTTTTTGTTTTATCCAAAATCATTGTCTTAATACATGTGATTTATATGATACAAGATATAATTAAATTGTATAAAAATTTCAAAAAACATGGTATTTACCTATTGAAAAAAAAATAATATATGACATATTAAGAAAATGATATTTTATTATATCTATACATATCTAATACCGGTCATAACAATTAATGATCTCATTAACAAGATCCAAAATTCATTAAAAGATTGAAACACATATGACTATAAGATTTACATATGTTCTTAAAACATTGATTCTATAAAATAATTTTAGAATAAGATGAATATATAACTCAAAATAAATCAAACGAACAATATAAAACATTAAATGATATAAAAGAGAATCAAAGATTTCTATTATTGAGACCCGATATAGATTTATTTTGAGGTCCAACTGTTTATTCAATTTACGCATGTACTAAATTATCATACACGAATGGGAGGATCCTAACAAATTATATCATTCGTTCTATTAATTTTAAATATATGAATTTCAATTTCAAGATTAAATAGTAGCAGCACAATTAAAATAGATGTACTAACAACAACAATCTCTTTCGCCTCCCAAATTTTACCATTGCTCAAAGTGACTAGTTCCCCATTTTGAACTTCACCATTTATATAGAGACAGTATTACAGTGTTATTAATAGTCATCACTTGATTTACAAACACTTTGACACACATGCACACTGAGTTAATAACACTAAAAACTACGCCTTGACCCCAAACAAGTTGACGTAGACTACACAAATCTTCTCTACAAAGTAACTCAAAAAGTACTTTTATCAACGTTAGAAGCAAACATGCGAAAAGATTTACAAAATATGCTTCATAACTAAGTTCTGTACCAAATTTGTTTTTAAATGAGAAACATACTACTATGTAAAACTGAAATCGGCAAGGATTTCTTAACTTACCAACATTTTGACGAAATCAATCGTCTTTCATATGAAGATTTACAAAAGGTGAAGTTCTCTTCAGCTGAATATTTGCTTCACTGAAGCCATTGTTGCTTCAAAATCACGCTCAGCGTGACGAATGTCATCACAAATGGTACCCTTTAAAGATCCTGATACCTTGATATGATGCTCCACTGTCTCAATCATGGTTTTGGCTGACATAAGTTGTTTCTCTAGATCCTTTATCTTCAAAGCAATCTTGTTAATCTCGTTGTTAGCAACTGCTTTCTCAAGATAGCATTTTTTGAGTTTACCCTCCTCTTCTTGCAACTTGCTTCGGAGCTGAGTTTGCTTATCGTTGTTTAACATCAAATCATTCAAATGACATTTAATCGGTATTAGATCAAATCCATACTCCTCCAAGTCCTTGATAGTGTCCAGCATCTCACTAATGAGAGCTGAACTACTAAGTTCAGCAACGGTTAACTTTGGTATCCTCTCAACAAAAAATACATACTTCGTCATCTTCAGTAAAGCTACTTCCTCTCGTTTTTTCTCCTCATATTGTGCTAAAGGTGAAAAATGTGGATTTTGCGGAATTTTTGTAAATACTTCCATGGATTCAAATTCTCTCCAAAGAGCAGAGTTCTTCTTAAATGGTAGTACCAACCTCGGCTCACTCCCAGGCATAGTGGTCTCACTACATGGTTGGACTGTTGCAGCAGACGCTCCTGCAAATGATGACTAGATTAACCAAACCTGATCGTGACATTAAAAATACAAGGGAACTGTGGGATATCAGAAATGACAAGCAACTGCTTAAGAGATTTTTAGATGGAAACAGAACAGTTCAGGTCTAACATTTTTATTTTTTAAAATGGTTCAAATGATCACCTCATTTGAGTATGAAAATGATAGTTGTCTATTCGACGGCTTAGGAACCTCACTCGAGTACTACTTTGATTGGTAGTGGTCATCTTCCATCCAATATTTAACACTAACTATTCAACTATATTTTTTTAAGGAAGATACCAAAATGAATAATTGAAATGTTGCTAGCTTATCCTGAAAAGGAAGTGTAGAAGTACATTAATTCCTTCTCAAGTCCATGAAAATATCAAGGTTGAGCTTGTAGCCCTGTATCGGATTATAAGATTTAATGAGCTCAAACTCAAAAACCTATCCATAACTAACTTCAGTCTTGCACAAACACCTCGATATTATTTTTTTCTGTTCAACCGCAGATTGTTGCAAGTGAACACATGCACTTAGAAATAGATGACGCTTAGTTTTAGAAATCTCTTTCATATTTTAATAGTACTGCTTGGAGTTCTTAATAGCTCTTGGTACAACAAAAGTAGTTATTTAGCTATCTAGATAAAAGTTGAAACAAGTAGGAATAATTTAATTAGCATTCGAATTAAATTTATCTGGGAACTACAAACTTTAAACAAGAAGCTAAGCAGATAGGAATTACTAAACACCATTAAGATAAGCAATTGCAACAGGATACACGACTACACTAGAAATATTCTGTTAAAAATGCACTGGAAATGCATGCTTTACCTGCTGAAGTATTTATCCCATCAGTTTTTCTTGAAGATAACTCAGCTTGATTTGTTGCATTCTTTTCATTAACCGAGTCATGGAGAGTGCTTTCAAGTACTTGTTTCTCCACGCCTGTCATCAAGCAAAACATTATGCAATGATGCAACAGGCGAACAAAACCTATTCCAAAATCAGTTACCTTGTGTCACAGCAAGTGATCTATGGGCAGACAGGTCCATGGTACTTCTTTCGTTGCTTCCCTGGATGACAAAATAAAATAGAAAATAAATACCAGAATAAATCAGAAACGAACAGAAAAGTGAACTAATGGAGGAGAAAGGCAAGGAAACCCAAGCCTATGGATAATTCAGACTTTAATCAATGACATCTTTTATATCATCGAAATCTTTATTTAGGTCCATGCTGCAGGTAGAATCAAAGCATCTAGGTGATGATATTCTGGTATCCAAGTATCATATGCAAATGCCAATACCCAGATTCTAAATAATAGATTAGATGCAGATGAATGAGCCGTATAACAATAAGTTACCTCAATAATTGGAAATTCAAAATCACTTAGGTTCGCATCCTCATCTCGGGTGTGCTGGAGAGACTGGACACAGGGTGAAAGGATTCCCACATCAACCACACTTCCAAAGTAATCTTGGTTTTCTACAAAATCAAGTAATCTTGATTTTCTCGTCTGCAAAAGTTAAGAATAAACCACCAGAAGAGTCAGGTTCTATCGAACTGTTCCCCTTTCTAATTACAACCACAATACAGAGATACATTCAATACAGATGAACAGACATTTATTAACAATGCTGATTAGGTTATAATCTGAAAATTCTAGTGAAGTTGATAAACAAACTGAAGGTATTAGTAGCCAGTAAAGTTCAATTTAACATAGAACAACCCACAGAGCAACTTGACATTGAAGTATGACAAGAGGGGGTTGTTGCTGTCTGTTGTTGACAAGAGGGGGTTGCTTAGGTGGTAAGCACCCTTCCACCTCCAAAGCTAAGGTTGTGGCTTCGTGTCACCAAGGAATAAAAGGCCGGGAGTTCCTAGGAACGGGTAAAAAAAAAGGAAGATTATTGTAGCATATTTAAGAAGCAAAATTTTTCTTCAAGTCACAATATTTGGGGATCTAATCTCTTTGTTTCTTTCAATTTTTCAGTGAGCTAGGAAAGAGAAAATCAGACATTCAGTTTGTACCAAGAGAATGGAGAGAGCAGGAAGGAAAGAATGGATATTCACGAATCTCATTCCCTTCAGCATAGAGACTTATAGTTTTCACAAAAAGGAAAAGCATGATATAAAAGAGAAGGTCCGTAGAGAGAAAATTGTTGGGTACAAGCAACAATGTAGAAAAAACAAACGGTAGTTCAACTTTTCATGTTCTCTTAATGCTTGAAGGTTCTGAAGTAAAAATGTCAAATTTCTCAACACACTCGTTCTTTAGCTCAAGGACTAGAATCACTGAAACCCTAACCAGAACAAGAGAAAATGAAAGGAGAATCAATTCAATGGAACATAAAAACAACCACCTTTAAAGTCCTTTTGGGTTGCTCAAGCAATAGCAAAAATGTCTCTTTTTCACAGTTGACAAACTAAAAGAAAGATTGAAAAACCAATTTTGTTCTGACAGAAAATAGCTTTTGAATGCTTCCGACATGTTACTTTTTCCTGGGTGTTCCAAAGATCACAAATAAGTATGTTGTATCAGCTATTCTTGAACGGAGAAAACAATGAAACATGTAGACAACATAGAAATCAATAAGGTTTAGAAGTCCTTTATATCCTTGTTACTTAAGAGTTAAGACAGGAACCCCAATTATATAAATAAATAGTTGTAGGACATAACTCTGGTGACGTGGCACGCTCGTTAAGCAAGAAATCCAATTATCTTTTTTTGTCAATTTTTGGCTTTAATCCTATTTCCCCTATTTATCTACTATACTATTTTCACAAATATAAAACACACTTCCTCAAAAACCAAAAGAAACATCCTTTTCTCTCCTTTCTCAATAAGGATAATTATGATAGGCATAAAAATCCAAATGTAAGATCAAACGTTTTTATTAAATGAAAGTAATTTGCTGGCCCGTTTTATTTATCTCTTCACGGCCTCCTCTTAAATATGTTTAAGAGTCGGAACATCTTTATTCAGTGAAAGTTGAAATTGCCCATATCACAACCTTCTGTTTCTTTTGCAGGGTTGTCATTAATTTAATCTGCTGATTTTGGATATATTAAGTTTTCCATGGATGTTGTATATTAGACCAACTTTTCCTTCTTAGCAGATATGGCACAAAATGCATTGCAACAAAGTTCCGTACAAAACTATACCAGCAATCTATTGTAGCTATATTTGGATTAGTTAGTTATCTTTCAAATGTTGTAATTTAAAAGGGTGGTTATCTCAAAGTGTTGCTGTAGGTTCTTTAGGATGGTCATTGTATACAATAAAGTTTAGACTCTAGAGAAGAGTACAAAGTAGTTAATTCATCTTCACAAGTCAGAGGATTGAAGGAAGTATGTAGTTATGTGTTGTTAGAGTGGGTTTTTTGTTTTCTCTTGGTTGATTCGAGAAAGTGCATTAGGTACCATACAACCTTTTTCATGAAAAACTTGGTTATGGCGCATAAATTCTTTTTGTCTATGTATTTATCATTTATAACTTGATTAGTTTATTACCATATGGCAAGAAGGATAATTAAGTGTGTTAGTGAATGCTACAGGTAGAAACAAAAAATATAGTATAATCATTTTCCTAGAAAAATAGCTTTCCTTGTACACAAAGATTTAATAGAATGGGACAATGGGTGTAAGATTGTTTTTTGGCTTTTATGGAACGTCAATTTTCAGGTAAGTTTCCTCTGGACTTTATGGAGCATCAGGTTTTTAATTTGTAAAATCTTTATATTATTAAGGATACAAGATGGAATATATGATGCCACGTATAGCACAGCGGGAAGTAAGAATATGCATATGGAAATGGGGCTAAAGGAAAATGCAAGGTACATTTATGCAATATTAAATTGCTCATGTATAAAGTACTTTGACACAGTCTTATCTTAGGTACGAGGTTGGAAGGCAGATTTTTGGGATAATATTTTAGTCCTCATATGAATTTTGATGATCAATTTGAGCATGAGTTTGGCTTGATGCTTTTGAAGAGTATGGTTTTCATGATCAGTTTGAGCATATGAGTTTGGCTAGATGCAAAAGCGTAAACACAAAGATGTATTTTTCTGAGATGAACTTTTTATAATATATTACTATGTGAACAAATAAGTTGGTAGCGGAAATGAGGTCTATACATAACAAAATGTGCAGTAATTGGATGTGCACTTGAGAATGAAATTGACTTTGAACTTCTAGAAATGTTCATAATCGTATATTAGTTACTTAATTTTTGGCTTAATCCTTTAAAATTTTAAAGCTTTACAATGGAACTGATTGCACAACATTGAAAATGTATCGGATTTATCTTAGTTAGCCTTAATTTGGCTCTTTCTCTTCTTCTTTTTTTGGGTAGCCTCGAAGTTTATTTTGGACTCCCCCCAACACACCCACACCATTTGGATACTCCAAATATAACTCATAAACCTAATTACAATACAAATTAGTGTTTATGGACAAAATTTAAATAAGCAAGATGGACTAAAATTTAAAAACCTCAATCATGATAATCATTTATTTCTGCAAACAAACAACCACTGATAAATATTATTAGTAGTATTTACAATAACGAATTCTATTTGAAAACAACATTTAAATAAAGGGGAACTTTCACATATAGCCGTAGTTACATGTTATAGGGAGGACAGAGGCAAGAGAGAGCAAAAAGTGGGAGAGAGGTGAATTGTATATGTATATTGGTTAGATAATTGTATATTATACATATGTATTTGTATATATGGAAAGCGAGATTGGGAGAGAGAGGAGAGAGGAGAGCGAGATTGGAAGATGGAGGAGAGAGGCGAGAGAGAGAGGGCTGAGAGTGGGAGAGAGGTGAATTCTATATGTATATTGGTTAGATAATTATATATTATACATATGCATCTATATAAAAAGCAAGCGAGATTGGGAGAGAGAGGAGAAAGGCGAGCAACATTGGGAAAGGGAGGACAGAGCCGAGCGAGAGGCCAGAGAGTGGGAGAGAGGTGGATTGTATACGTCTATTGATTAGATAATTGTATATTATACATATGTATTTGTATATTCTAACGAATTATACATATACAAATGTGGATAATTATACAAACTCAAAGTCAACCCACATAATTAATATATAATGTTAGTCATGAGTGATAATTATAGCAAATTATAGCCATAATGAGTAATTAAGTAGTATAAGTTTGCTTAACCGCATAATTTTCTTTTAAATAAATGAAGTGGATTAAGAACCACGGGGACCGCACTCAATGAAGTAGGCTACCATGAGAATTGCACTGAAGTGGATTAAGAATCATGAGGTCTCGGGTTCAAATCTCAGTAGAGGCAACAACATTGGTAATTCCTCCCATCTATCCAAGCCTCGGTGGACAGAATTACCAATTCTTGTGATAGTGGGAGGTAACCCATGAAAAAAGTCGAGGTACGACAAGCTACCCGGGATAAAACAGTTATCAAAGGAAATAAATGATAGAAGACTTACAAATGTTCAAAAAGGATTATCATGCAAAACAACAGAAGTAAAAAGCATGAGTGAGCCACTTACAAATGCCTTCCCAGATACAAAAGGCCTAGGTAATTCTTGATTCTCCAGAGCTTCTACAACATGTTTTCTACTTCTTAACTTCTTCGGAGGTCGTACCTCATCAATCCTAGTATCTGTTTCCAGTTTCATCTTAGAAGAGGTTATTCCCTTGTTAATATGATTTAATGTAGGACTTGGAGTTCCCAAGTGAAGAGACATCTGATACAATTGACACAGGAGTAAATGATTATATTGCTTGATGATGAAAAGTTTTGAATAAATAAAACCGGGAAAAATTAGATGTACAATGGCATCTCCAAGACATCGTGATAGGAAAACACATCAAAAACTCCGGAAATTATACCGTACATGTCAATTTTTTATCCAAACTCTGGTTATCTCACAATAGACAACTACTCCCAAGATTTGGACATAACCTCATTATTAAAACAGATGGATATCCATTGAACTTGGAGCAGGTAAATAATTAGGCTAGAACATGATGAAGTTAGATATTATTATCAACGTCATGCAAACCAACAATGACATGCTCCACCATCATACTAGCAAGTGATATTTTTCAAGACAAAATGACCTATTCTACCTGAAACATATACTGGACAAGCAAATTTATCATTGCACTAATTGAACTATGAAGATAAGGGAACATAAAGATATTTTTGACACAATATGGGCATAAGGATCGTTATCAATGGTATGGGAGGTCCAATCAAAACATGTTAGAAATGGACACTGAGTCTAACTCAACCTCAAAAGCTAGCTCAAGAGGTGAGAATTGCCCAAAATCATAACCAATTTCTCCTCAGCCCACCAATGTAGGACTCAACATCCTTTCACGCCCAAGGCTGGACCTCTGGAGTGTGGGCAATTTAATATGGGGGCCAACATCAATAAACAATGAACTGATATGGTTCTAGCCATGATACCATCATAATGAAAATGACTTTGGGTCTAACTCAACCCTAAAAGCTAGTTCAATAGGTAAGAATAGCTCAAAACCCATATAAAGAGGCCTATTTCTACTCGTCGCACCAACATGGGACACAACAATAACAACTATACGCTAGGTACCAGTGACCGAGAGTTTGAGCTCCAAGTTGATTCACACAACTTTATAAATAGAGTGCTGAACAATCTATTAATGCAAATGCAAAATCATATCTAGTGTTGAGAAAATGTACAATAGAGTCAATAACAGAGAAGTGGCCACACAGCACATACAAGGAAACACACCAACCACCCTAGTAAGAACACCATACAGTACATCACATCAAAATTGTCTTCGAACTAGTTGTCATTTTTCAAATTAGTGAATTTTCTTATTAAGATTCCATGTTCATATATAAGAAAATTTGTTGCATGGAATAAGTAAATATCCAACACCCTTGCATAAAAACAGTATGAACAAAACTTCGCTATTTAGTTCAAAGTTCTGGCCAAGTTGATCTTAACTAAATACAAGCAAATTGAAGGTAAACTTATTACCCCCCCTGTCCCAAGTTAATGCATTTGAATGAACCAAGCAGAAATGGACGTGGCATTCGACAAGGTCTCAGTTTCAAATCAACAAAAACACTACGTGATTTCTTATCTGTTATCCCGTGGAACTAGTCGAGGTGTGTGCAAGCCCATGCACCATTCTTATAAAAAAAATGGTATAAAGGGAGTACCTTTTCATGTGGCGGATCAGGACGTACCCAACTTCCACCAATCCAATCCAGATGAAACCTCAAGTCATATTCGGAAAATTCAATCTCCTCATCCGGGTCCCTGAAAGCCACCCGGAACCTACAACCGTTATTACCACCGTCATCCCAAACAATTGAAACAACAACCCCAGTCCACCACCCTGCAAGATGAAATGCATCAACAACATCGCCCACTCGAAAATTCCGCCGCTGATCCCACTTCGCAGCCGGTGGTGCAGGTCGTATAAGGGACTGTTTTCTGACGAACTCGCGTTTAGATACCGATTCACCTTGGTCAGATAATAAATGCTTGTACTGAACCCAAAACCCCCTTTTCTTATTTTCGCTTTTAGGGTACGGAAACGGAGCCGTTGGCTTCAATGGTTCAACAATGACAGCTTCATAGAGAGCTCCACTATAACCCACTTCCTCTCTGCTAACCTCGACTTCATCGCCGATGGTGAAGGGCGATTTGTAAGCCGGTGACGCTGATGCATTCACCGTTCCTAATCCCACTTTCTCGATTACCATCTTCGTCGTCGTCATCGCCGCCGTAGGTGAATTTTTCCAGCGGAGTTATACTGATACTTTTACTTTGTGCGGAGGCAGGGTTTGGGTTTTTGTTAACAACATTGAAAATCCAGGAAATTGGCGGGTTCTAGAGCTCCATGTGTAGCATTCTGTGTTATATAAGGTAAAGAAAATGACAAGAATGGTCCCTTATGTTTGAGTATAATCGAATCGAATCGAAAAATTTCAATTTTTGATATTGGTTTTCTTTTTTTGAAACTTCGATTTGGAGTTCGGTGCAAGGGTCCTTTAATTACGGTGCACCGAAGAATCGAAGTTTTATTAACTAAATTTAAAAATATTTAAATTATATCTCTTAGTTAATACTATTAGTTATAGACTTTTAATTTGAATTTTGACTCAAGATATTTACATGCCCCACTGAAATTTTCAATGATTAAATGACAACAAATAATGTCAATAAAATGTAGAACTATTTTTGTTTATGTACCATTGTACATTGTGAATCCTTATATTTTGTTGTTCGAAAGTTCATCGTGGCATCGTGTTTGCTAGGCTGCTTGCTCTCTTCTTTATTCATACAACATTAAGGTGTGGGAGAAATTCTTTAGGCTTTAGCAACATGGCAGTCATCTATTTTAAGAAATAGAAACAAATCATTTGGCATCTTTGTTAAAAGATTATCTATGCGCCCTCTTTATTTTTATTAAACACATGATGAAACTCTTAACACTTTATCATATTCCCTCTTTATATTTATTCACATCGAAAAACTGACTTAAAAACATCAAACTAAACTGAATCGAAGTAAAAAAAACGAACCGAACCGATCTAGTTTGCTATAAACTATGGTGCACAATTTTCTAAAATCGAAATTGAAGAATGAAATCAAAATTTGATTAAATCGAATCGAACGTCCACCCTTACTTAATATCCACTTTTTAATGGTCCATTAAGTTTGAATTTAGCAACTTTGATCCTTTTAAGTTTGTCAAAAACTTAACGTTCTTAGTCTCCAACTCTATCCGTTAAATGTGACGGGGACTACCTCAAAATAGAAGAGAAAATGATGAAAAAATGACCTATTATGTTTAAGAGAAGGTTCGAAATATGCTTTGCTCTCCAACAAATATTTCACGAACTATATTTGATATATTTTAATGAATTAAACACATTAACTAATCTATATAACGTGTGCTTAAGAAGATATAACATAAACCAAACTATTTTCATTTGAAATTTTATTCAAAAATGTCCATGAAAATAATTTGTCATCTTTCATGTGCTTAATTAGAACATAGTGTAGTTCAAATGGTCAAATAAAATATAGTGATATATTTAAGGAAATGTCAATATACTTTGATACTTTTATTAATTTGGACACATAGATTTAAGTTACTCTTTATATTTCAATAAACATTTCATCATTTAGGTAAATATGAAATTTAAAAATAAAATGGAACTTTTTTTAATCTTTAATTTTAAAGAGTACTAAAGCTTCCTTTTAAATTTTGCCGTTTTAAAAAACGGACATGTAATATTTAGAAAGTCAATGAATATAAATAAAAGGAATCAATTATAAACAAATATACTTAAATTGAAAGGGGCAAGGCGTATTAATCAACTACTATTCTATTTGTAAAAAGTAATGCCACTATAAATTAATTACTACAATTCTATTAATTAGCAAAAAGAAATTAAAATATGGAAAATCTTGGCTTTCATTACTTGTCGATACAATGATCTCTTTATTTATCTCTTTAGTGTTGGTTTAATCGATATGTTATGTTAAAATTGAAATGAAATCGTCTTTCATAATATTTCTACGTAGAGCAAATTATTTTGAATTCACTTCTGATGCGATCACTCAAATAATAGTTAATTTCAATCAAGCTAAAATGTTGTACAATTTACAATCCCTTTCATGGTTGATAACATAATATAGAGAATTCAACCGAGCTAGAACCAAATGGTTTTCGCATAATCTCATTCCAACAAATAATACACACTGCAAATAAATAGCAGCAGCGAATTATTTTCTTTCTGGGCATGGCAAGTAAGAGGTCAATGAGACCTTGAGCTATCCAGTAATCCCATACAAAAACTTTTAATACACTGGGATAATTAATTTGTTCAATATTTGTGGTGAATTCACATAACTTCCTAATCAATTACTAAGAAACCATTTAAGATTCAAAAAAAAACTTGTATGAAGGGACCATGCGTGGAACGCCTAAGGACTGCTTCATCACAGCCACAGCAAGATCATCAACCGTTTCATCTGTGTTCTCTAAATTAGTACATACCGCCCATGTTTGGCATACGGTTTGCGAGTGGGTTTTCCTCTCCTTGACGGTCCACAATGGCAGCCTCAGCTGTCGTCAATAATAAAGAGACGCTGCAGTATATATTTTCAGTCTCTGTTAATAGAAGTGAAAGATTTACCCAATGTTTTACTGGAACATGTTATGATCCTTACCTGGCAGCATCCATTAATGCTGTTCTAACTACCTTCACGGGATCAATAATTCCAGCCTTCACCATGTGTAGGTACGTACCTGTTTATGCAAAAGAGAACGAACATGTGTTTGTACAGAAATACGAGTCAATAGCAGCTAACTGAACCATGCAAATAAAACTTGATATAGCCGTTTTAAGAAGCAGCATACATATAGATTTCTCAATCATATATTATAACAGCGTGAAATTTAGTAACAAAAAAGTAAATACAGCTGTCAGATTGCAACTCTTTCATGGAGGGTGGTTTCTGGAAAAAGACACTATATGCACGGACAACAGACAACTAAAATTCCATAAATGTACTGTTCCCAAGAACTAAGAAATGTACTTCTTCCCAGGTAGTATAAAGTTTAAGGGGGGGGGGGGTAGTTCTCTACAAATTAGGATAATAGAAGTTTTGATGTCCCATTTCAGATGAGACAAGTATAATTTTGAAACAACTTTTTGTTTACAACTTCCTTTAAAGAGCTCTAAAATAATTTAATGACCAATTTCTATAGTATAAGAATGTACAATTACAATCTCCAAAAAATTTTGATCTGATGCTGGAAATCAAATCAAAGATTAAATGGTTGCACTCCCAACTGAGTCATTCACTCAGAGAGAGAGAAAGGTGGATTTTATTTAATGTGTCTTGAAGATACAATAAAAATGAAGCTACCATTTAGGTAGAACAAATAGATACTGCTTTCATATATAAATAGTTAACCAAACAAATTCTTTCACGAATATTAGGCAACATTTACACAATGCGATCAGACAAACTGAGTTAAATAGATGTGAGGGCACAAACCTTTGGCTGCATCATATCCTAGATTCAGATCATCTTGTTCTAAGAGCTTGCCTACAACCAAGGCACCGTCTGCACCAGCATTTGAAGCTATTGTAAAAGTAGGTGCCTGTGAGGTGGCAAATAATTCCCATGTCAAAACAGAAACTAACCAATTGGAGAGAAACAAGTACAAAAAGAACATAGTCTAGGTGATGTGAACCTTTAGAGCATTCTCAATGATCTCAACTCCCCTTTTTTGGCCATCATTTGCAGTCTGAAGGCCTTTTAGACATTTGGTTGCATATAAGAGAGCAACACCACCACCTAAGGAAAAAACATTGTTTTTTTCAGGTCAACAGAAAAAGAGTCAATTCATTAAACAAAATAACCTACCTGGAACAATGCCCTCTTCCACAGCAGCCCTTGTTGCATTTAAGGCATCTGTAACCCTATCTTTCCTTTCCCCAACCTCCGCCTCACTGGCCCCACCGACCTGAAATAGTGTACAGATCCAATTAGGACGCAGAGAATGTAACTAAATGCATACAGAAGATGCTCGAACCCTGAGGAATATACCTTGAAAACAGCAACACCACCAGATAGCTTTGACAAACGCTCTTGAGCTTTCTCCTTATCAAACATGGCACTACTTTTTTCTTTAGCTATCCTTAGCTGTTCAGAGATGCATAACTTGTCAGTGTTTACTCACCGGGGAAACATGCACTTTCAATGACACTAACCAAAAAAATCTACAAAATTAATGACTCTCTATTCCAGATATGCCCACAAGGAATTCAGACCTTCCGCATAAGAAATTGAAATAAAAACAGAGTAAATTCATTCAACAGGAAAATATAAAATATACGCCAGAATGACATCTCGGCTTTTCGAAGGTATGACAAAGTAGGAGGCTATAGACAAAGGAAATAGGTTCAACACCTACAAAATTTTTTGAAATACAATATAATGAAAGAAGGGGATAAAGCATCTCTACCTGCTCACACCTTTCTTCAATTAGCTTTTTGTCCCCACCTCCATGCAGAACTAGGGTGTCATCAAGGGAAACAGTAACCTGCTCAAAGTTGTGTATATTATGCATGTATATAACACTTCAAATTGATACAAAATAATACTGTATACTGAATATACAAACCTTTTTGGCAGTACCAAGCATATCAAATTGAACTTTGCTCAGATCCAAACCACGTTCTTCACTAATGACCTGTACAAAACATTAAGAATTTGAAACTATAGTGATAAACCAACAATGAATTAAGGCATGAAATGGGTATCTTACCTCTCCTCCAGTAAGAACTGCTAGGTCCTCCAAGTTGGCTCTTCTATTATCCCCAAAACCAGGAGCTTTAATGGCACATACCTAAAATACATGAAATTCTGGGTATCAACAGGAAGTTACTCTTCAAGCAAGTCAGGCCCAACCTTGAGGACAATGGTTTGGTTACTGTCAAATCTCTCTATCGGAGCTTGCTCGCTAGAGAGGAGATGTCTTTTCCATATCTTTTGATCTGGATCCCTGGAGGCCCAGAGAGGAGAGCGATTCTGACAACTGAGAACTTAAGGAAGAGAAATATCACTCATGTTAGCTCATGCTTTATGTGCAAGTGTTCGGGTGAAGAAGTTGATCATCTTATTAGTGCATTACAGAGTGGCATCGAGTTTGTGGAGGGTGCCTTGGTGTACAATGGATAATAACGGTTACCGTTAGAGATGTTCTCCACAGTTGGGCTCGAAGACGTTGTTGTAGAGGCAAAACGCATGGAAGGTTGCTCCATTAGCTCTTATGTGTGTTATATGGAACAAGAGAAATATGAGAGCTTTTGAGGTGATCGAAAATGA